AAAGCCTGGTGAGAAAAGACGGCCACAGAAAGAAGAGCTATCCAAGCAAGGACGGAAGCCACCCGAGCAGAAACAAGAGCTATCCAAGCAAGGACAGAAGCCATGTGAGAAAATATGGGCACCAGCCACAAGGAGATGGTGGCCGAAACCAAACCAAAAAGAGACATGGAGACGATGGCCTGCCAAGAGATGGAGGCACATCTAGAAGAAGAGCCAACCTCAGCTGACAGGAAACCTGAGGTGGCCCAACATCGAGAAGTCCCCTTAGAAGATGGCAAAGTAATGCCGGTTGGAGGACCTAAGAAGAAAAGGTGTAGGGACCAAAACCAGCTAAAAATGAAGAAATGTACCCAGGGAAAGGATGAGTGCCAAAAGAAGTTGGCTGTCACCCGCAGAGGAATGAGCCACCATGCGAAAGTGGCATGGCAGACAAAGGAGACCAGCAGAAAGATGTCTGGTCATCCAAGAATTGCCTGGCACAAGAGAAGCGTCGGTAGGAGAAACTATATCAGAACCAAGCATGAGGAAAGAATCCGGAGACTCAGAGAAAGAGTGTGGATTCTCCATAATGGAAGAATGGGAATAATGAATGTAGGCAGCAAACGGCCACTTTGTCAATGAAAAAGGTGACAACCAAGAACGACATCGGAGGGTGTAGATCGGGACAGCAATCGCAACGAGGAAGGAGAGGAACCCGGAAAATGATCTTCTACGAGATTGTCGGCAGGAAGATCGCGAAGCAAATAGCTGGATCTTCTGTTGGATTATGACAAAACAAGAAATGGACCTTGTGGAGGGGTTGGCCCCCTCCAAAACGAAAAAAAGAAAACAACGGGTCGAGGAGGTGCTGGTAATATACAAGTAGAGGTACCAGCCTTCCCAGAGAGAGTGAATGTGCGATGATTGAATGTGGGGAACGAATGTGATAGAACTGGATCTCCTGACAAGTTAACAGGAAACCGCTCCAGACGAGCTGGTCCTTACAAGGGAGCAGATGCAGCGGTTGAAGAATGAACAACGGGAAGAAAGGAAAAACCATGCCAGAAGAAAAAAAGAGAATGTTGCAATCATAGCCTCGGAAGGACAGGACCACTGATGCACTGTTACGCTATCTGGGACAAACACCCATAAGAAGGGAGCAGTGTGACATGTCTAACCATTACTGGGCAATGGGAGGTGGAATGAGTTACCATGAAGACAGACCCTTGATAAACAGTCGGTTGCCAGGTTACACAACAGTAAGGAAAGCGGTGTTTCTCCGAGCTGAGCCAAGCCGAAGTGAGTTGAGACAAGCCAAAGTAAGCCGAGCCGAGCCAAAGCTTGCTGGTTGCTACGCATCAATAAACAACTCTCGGCAGCATTGCTCAGCAACGCCTCAGTAAACACGGCGTCATTCAACAGGGAAGCCCGTGCAATGACTGTTGCTACGCAATCGGTAAACACGATGTTACGCAACAGTGGTATCTATCACATAACTGTTTTCTGTGTTGTTTGTGCCAAGCCTAAATAAGGAGCAGCGAACACTATTCAGAGTGAGTAAGTTACTAGTGAGATGGAGTAACCAGCCAGTTGAAGTCTAGCATTTGCCGGAGTGAATGGAAACAGGAGAAGTATTTGAGATACTGCCGATGGCAGTAATTGGGAAACTGTAAATTGTGTAACTGTGCGAGCAAATGTGCAATAAATTTGCTATATCCAGAACAGCGTGAAGTTATTTGTCGCATGACATACCCAACACATGACAATATCAATTCACATTATACGAGGGTCGTACTGAAAGTCATGAGCAACAATTTTTTGTAAACTAACATGCTTTATTATTGACAAATCAAATAGACCACCTCAATCTACAGACCTTTCTTTATTTTTCCACATAATCATCACTTCTTTGTACACATTTATCACAGTGTTCTGGGAGTTTTCTGTAAAATTCTGTTCCAGCCATCTGAAGACACGGACGCACTGCTTTCTGAATTGCCTCCCTCGTCTCAAAACGTTGTCCACGCAGCTGATCCTTCACAAATCCGAAAAGATGGTAGTCGGAGGGTGCCAGATCAGGGCTATAGGAGGGATGTGAAAGAACTTCCCACCCCATCTTTGCAATTGCTTCCAACGTGAGGTGAGCAGCATGGGGGAAAGTGTTGTCATGCAGGATGATGATGTTTTGTCCCAGACGTTTATCGTGCAATGCACAACAGAGCTTGTGCAGCATCTGGACATAACGAGCAGCATTGATGGTTTCCCCAGGTTCCAGAAATTTGGCCAGAATAAACCCCTCTGCATCCCATAAGACTGTGCTCATCACCTCTGCAGCTGATGGCAATGCCTTTGCCTTCTTTTTTGATGGAGAATGCAAATGGTGCCATTCCATACTCCGCCGTTTCATTTCAGGCTCAAAATGATGAAACCAGCTTTCGTCACCTGTCACAATACAGAGTAAAAAATCATCGCCTTCGTGTAGATATCTCTGCGGCAGTTCTGAGGTGTTGGCTTTTCGCTGACCTTTGTGGTCTTTGATCAATAACTGCAGGACAGAACGAGCACAAACTTTCCAACAGCCCAAGCTTTCAATCATCTCCTGTACTGCGCTGTGCCCTATTCCAAGTTTTCAGGCTATTGTGCCCACAGTCACACACCTGTCAACTTCAATGATCTCATCCACTCTTTCCTTGTTGCGTTCAGTTGAGGCTGTTCGAGGACGACTGTTCCGAGGCTCATCTTCAATGCTGGTGTTCCCATCTTTAAAATGTTTCACCCATCTTCGAACACTGCTCGCACCCATGCACACACTTCCATAAGCACGCTGAAGTTTCTGGTAAATTTCTGCAGCAGGGATTTCCTCTTTCACAAGAAATTCGATGACAGCACGCTGGCGAAATGACATATTGTTGTTGGCCATTTTGTTAGGAGTGATACTTGTCGCGTGATGCAAGCTATTGACATCACAAGATACTCAAGGTTAGCACAACAGCTGGTTCCCCCTACTCCCGTACTCTCTTTCGTCTGCTGTTCCCAGGTTGCATGCAAAAAAAAAGTTGCTCATGATTTTTGGTACGACCTATGTAATGTGCTGTCTGGATTATTTAAAATGTGCAGTTAAAATACTGTAATGTGATGGCTGATAGCCAGAATAGTGGAGTCAGAGACAGAAGTTTGTTGCTGAGCAATGGCCCAGAAATCATGTTCCCGCTAAAACACTAGCAGCAAATGAGCCGTTACCACATAACAAGTTGTAAACACTGAGGAAACCAAGCGGCTGCTTGGGAATGAATACACAATTTCCGCCATGATGTGGAATAGACAGTAGCTGGACAACAGTTTGGTAAACACGTATTCCTGTGGCAAAGGATACGCAGATTACAAGAGATGAACCGTTCAAGTGTTTGTTCTGTTTGTGGTCCCCACCGGGTTATAAAAGGACATGTAACTGAGTCATAGGGAAGTTGTAGTAGTCACAGAACGACAAGCAGAATGAATTGAGGACTCAGTGTTCAAGATCGATTGTGAGCTGTAATAACTGATTACAATTGTAAAGCAATGCCAATAAACTCAAATCATCAAATACAGAACCCATTATTGTAATGGAGGACAGGTATTAAATGAGAACAATGTCAAATAGTAAAGGATGTCAATTACAGACTATAGCAGTTAAAATTCTTGGCATTCAAGTCTTTGAAAGTGCGATGGTTGACAACTGTGTCATGATGTATCCACCAATGTAAACACAGTACAACCTTGGTAATGTGACACATATGGGACCAAGGTATCACCAGGTTACCAAAAATTATGGATTACTGGAAAAAGTTGGAACAAATTAACTTGTACTGAACAACTTATAAGTTTCAGAACTGATTATCATTTATTTATTTTACATATATAAATGTGTACTGTGAATTTTTGTTCATTAATTCAATTCAACTGAAAGGCTGTGAACTAGCGAGGGTCTAAATAAATCAGTTTGTCAGTCTCTGCTGCCTGTAGAAACCTGCACAAGGTCGCAGATGCCTGTCTGGCATCTGATGCCGGATTACTGGACGTATCGGACTAGTGCAAGACCAGATTACAGAGGCTGTACTGTACATGCATGTGAAAAGTGTGAAACCCCAGAAGTGAATATGTGTTTTGTCCCATCTGTATATACTGAATAAGTATCCTCACCTCAGAAGAAGGGTTTCAGTGGGTGGTTCAAAAACATTTCCAAGTTACTGAATTCTGTGGATTCCTTTGCTTATCCTTATGGAACATTACTCAGTTACTACATTTACATTTTGTAACTCATGTCAAAATTTTAAAATAACTGACCTCACAGAACAATCAGTTTCTCACTTTTTCTCACATGCCAGTAGTTGTCTATTCTAGAAGGATGAAACTGTAGTGTACCAGCTACCACTTATGATTCTATTTCATATACTAACTGAGACTTCCAAGATATTCCACATTTCCAAAATGCAAATACCAGATGGTGCTTTAAAAACAGATTCAATTTTTTACCCAAACTGTGACTGACTTTACAATTGCCTTCAGATATCTCAGAACCTCTATATCATGTTTTATTGACTGCAAGTAACACCAATAAAAATTCAAGCACACTGATGTCACTGTGAAATTAAAAATAATAATAATAATAAAATTGCATATATTTAATGCAATTTATTCCCACTTATAAGTAATGAAAAAATCGTTATATAAGTCTAAAAGGGACAGCACTGGGTACAAAAGTTGTCATTAAAACCTGAAATGGATGGCAGCAGATATATAATACTGTCTGCGAGTGAGGGAAATTGAGAGCATGTCCTCCCTCTACCTTACGGATGGTTCCAGAAACTGACACAGGCCATGGCTGGCCAAGAAACTGTGAGATATTTCCAGAAGGACAATGCCTGGAGTATTAGATACTGACACACTGAAGGAAAGAAATGTGTGAATTATGCAACAAAATATGATGAAACCTACAAAGCTCAAAAAAATGTGTTCACCAGAAAATACACTGCAGTACTCACCTGAAGTGCTGGGTCGTTAGGGGAAAGTGCAGCAATTTGCCTCAGTCGATCATAAAGAACAGCCAGAAGAGCCTGGAATCGATGGTTCAGGATATCCAGCTGCTTTGCTACAGTGTCAGCTCCTCCCCCTTCAAGACATCGTGCACTCAGCGTTGCATCTAGGCTGGGGTGCACCTCTTCCACCAGCCATCCGCAGTATCGCTGCAGTCTCAAGTCGTAAATCTGTTGGGTTGGGAGGGTTAGATTAGGGGGTTAGTTTGATTAGTAATACATACGCTGCCACCCTTAATTGTAAGTTTCAAGCCCAATAACCACCACCACCACCACTGTAAAGTGCATTACCCTATGGCTTGTTGCCAATCTTATCTTTAGACCAACAACCTTTTAAGGATTAATGACCAAATTTTAATCTCCACTTATATACATTTGCACTGAGATCACTGATGCATTAAAATCTTGACTTGTCCTTCCAAAAAGGCAAGTGTGGCCACCACATAAAAGCTGCCCAATGCAGAGTTATCATATCCATATGGTCAGCTAGTATATATATGTCAGAAAATGATTGCACCCAAAAAGAGAATAAAAAATTCTGCATGTTAAACAGAAAGAACAATATCAATGGATAATTATTTCAATGTTTAAATCCAGCTAAAGCACATTCTACTACCTAATTAATGCTGTTTGTAGCAGTATGTTTGACAGAACTTGGGTACAATAAAGAAACCATACTGTGTGTGGTTTATGGTAAAGCTCAGAGAAATGTAATTTTACTGTATGTAAGAAAACTGGTGTCTAGTAATATCAGTAAATACCATTCAACCTGCATTTCACTGGAAATCTGCATGTAGATACAGAATGGCCAAAATCTGTGCTCATAATACTTGTTAAATTAAAGAGGAAGACAAAACTATGAAATTTGGTAATTCAGACAGAGAAGCTAAATTCCTAACATAACCATCCATGCACATATGGGCAGAGAAAATATGCTGAGCCAACTTTCCAGAATGAAATCTGCATCTATCAGTCTAAGTGAAACATGTGCTGCAATCTTCTGTCTGTATAGGTATGGATCCATGCTCTGCAAAAATGATCCACTGCCTATTTCTCAGTATCTTATATTTTGAGTCATACTTGATGTTTAATGCTAAACCTTTAATTTATATTTTAATGTAAATAAATGAAAGAACAAAGTCCACTTTCCAACATGATGAACATAATGAAATTAACAGCAAAATTTATAATAAATAATGTCTATAACCCCAGTTTTAACATTTTTCTTCATATTGTTTTACTACCATTAAAAAATCAAAACTCAAATCTGACTTCAGAAACACCACTCAACTTGAACCAAGGTTTGAAAAGTAGGCAATCTATAATTCCAGCACACTGGGGGGGGGGGACACAAAGCGGACAAAATACATTGTAGATGAGGCACCGGCCAAACAGTTAATGTCAAATAATACCACATCTATATCACGGGCCTCCAAGCAATTTCTACGTGTATACAAGTCCTGAATATACCATTATGTCCATGGGAATATAACAAGATTCCAACATCTGACTTCATGATATGTAATACCATATGAAGAGTTCTTAAACCATATTTTACTCTATATAATAAGCTTATAATTCATTGTATTTTTATACCATGTATTTTTTAATGTAACAGTCATCAAGTATCCAGCTTTACTATCACAATGAAATTGCAGTTCAATAGCATGTGAATATAGTAACCATGTGTTTTGCCTGATGATAGCTTTAAAAAGCCAAAACATGTAGCTAAAGTAATGTTGACCTTGATCGTTATGTTATTGTGTTACGACGGACTCCAATAAAGAATTGTATATAATAACACAACAGTATGCATGAAATGAAAAATGTATTAGAATAAATACTTTGATGGATTTGAGGTTCTCACAGTGATGATTATGAACAGCACTACATCTGGAATGTAATGTCATCTAGTCTAGCAGAAGTTCAGTGCTACCTCACAGCACTGTACATCCTCTCTATCTTCAGTGTCAAAGAGTAAGCAAAGCATGAAACCAGCAAGATGCAGGTGGTAAGCACTCTTCTTGCCACCTGATTCTTGTTTGTTTCTTGCTTGGTTTAATCTTCAGCCCTAAAGACAGAGCCAGCAATACTCAAAAATAGCTGTTAACTTCTACCAGACTAGCCAACATCAGATCCCAAACTTAGTTCTGTTCTGAATAATTACTGTACATGACTCTCAGTTTCCAAATTAATTAGTGTTCTATATTCAAATGGACTTTCCACAGTTACATGTTTAATAAAATTTGTAAAAAAAAGCATGTGCCTTAATGTGAGTTCAATGTATGTAACAAACATGTATTTATGGACATAACCTACATCTCACTGCAATGTGCACAGTCTAGATTATCCATACATACATGAATTTAAACAAATTCAGGGTTATTAGATTGTTACTGAACTGTAATTAATTAATTAATTTGAGGAGTTTAGCCAATATAAGAATTTAGCTTTCCACTACAGAAATAAATATATTCACAATATTTACATGTTATATCAAAGACCATATACACATTCACAACACATCCATACCAACTTACCTAAATATCTTAGCTGGTAAATAACACGTCAAAGTCTTACCTTAGCTTCACGGATGAAACGTCCTCCAACAACATTCACCTGTTCAACGGCCTGTGTCTTTTCTACTACACTGTTATACAGTGCCTGAAAAAATAAACACAAATTTTTAAATCCAAATTCATTCACTGAATTCAGTAGTACTGAATGGCGAAATATTACGTTCTAAGATCCACAATCTGATTACTTCTATTTGGCATAATGAAAAATTGCCTGATCAGTGGAAGGAGTCTATTATTGTACGGGTTCACAAGAAGGGTGATAAAAATGACTGTAGTAATTATCAGGGGATATCACTGCTATCAACTTCATATAAAATTTTATCCAATATTCTTCTCTCAAGGTTAAGTCCATTTATAGATGAAATTATTTTGGATCATCAGTGTGGGTTTCGACATAACAGATCAGATCTTTTGCATTCGTCACATATCAGAGAAAAAATGGGAGTACGATGAGACAGTATGTCAGCTATTCACAGACTTCAAGAAAGCCTATGATTCAGTTAGGAGGGAAGTATTGCACAATATTCTGATAGAGTGTGGGATACCCAAGAAACTAGTTAGGTTGATTAAAATGTGTTTAAATGAAACGTATAGTAAAGTCCATGTAGGTAAACATTTGTCTGATAAATTTCCTATCCAGAATGGTCTAAAACAAGGAGATGCTTTATCGCCACTCCTTTTCAACTCTGCTTTAGAATATGCCATTAGGAGGGTCCATGGAAACCAGGTAGGACTGAAATTAAATGGGACACATCAGCTGTTGGTCTACACTGATGATGTGAATCTACTGGGTGATAATGTAGATACCATAAAGAAAAACACACAAACTTTTAATGATGCAAGTAGAAAGGTTGGTCTGAAGTAAACACAGAGAAAACTAAGTATATGTTACTGTCTCATCACCAAAATGCAGGACAAAATGATAACATAAAGATAGGAAACAGATGTTTTGAAAATGTGGCACAGTTAAGATATTTGGGAACAATGATAACAGATCGAAACCTGATTCAGGAGGAAATTAAGGGGCGATTGAACTCTGGTAATGCTTCCTACCATTCAGTCCAGAACCTTCTGTCTTCATATCTGTTGTCTAAAAACATAAAAATTAGAATATACAAAACTATAATTTTGCCTGTGGCTCTGTATGAGTGTGAAACTTGGTCTCTGACATTAAGGGAGGAACATAGACTGAGGGTGTTTGAGAACAGGGTGTTGAGAATATTTGGGCCTAAGAGAGATGAAGTGACAGGAGGTTGAAGAAAACTGCATAATGAGGACCTTCATAACGTGTACTCTTCTCCAAGTACAATTAGAATTATCAAGTCAAGGAGGATGAGGTGGGCAGGTCATGTAGCACGAATGCAGGAGACGAGGAATGTGTATAGGATATTGGTGGGAAAGCCAGAAGGAAAGAGACCACTGCGAAGACCAAGGCGTAGGTGGGTGGACAAGATTAGAATGGATCTTAGAGAGATAGGTTGCGATGGTATGGATTGGCTCAGGATAGGGACCAGTGGAGGGCTCTTGTGAACACGGTAATGAACCTTTGTGTTCCATAAAATGCTGGGAAATTCTTGAGTAGCTGCAGAAATGGCAGCTCCTCCAGAAGGGCTCAGCTCCATGAGTAAGTAAGCAAGTAAGTAATACTGAATGAGCTTCAACCATTCCCCATGCACATAACTAATCATGTACCACCTGTTCATAAAGGAAAATTGGCTAAGTGAAGATCCATGGTGTCTGGAATAGCTTTCACTTTTAGAATATTATGTATCTTGGCCAACAGTGAACATACCAAAGGCCATAATATTTTCACATGTTTTGCTACTGAAGACGCTGCTCAGATTGTTGATTGGTTTATTTAACAACCCACAACTCGTAGCTACAATACTAACAACACTGTTATGGGTTTACTCACTTTACAAACCTTACTCACAAATCTCTTCAATAGTCTTCACTTATTCACAGTACAATACGGGACCTATACCAGTGTCACTGTATTACACACTCCCAATACCTTCTCACACTATCACCTCTAATCACACGTTCTGGTCTTCCTCCCATGACTGCTATACTTCAATTGTCTTCTATCTGGCTTCATAATCCACACTCACTACAACTGAACTTGGAGACTGTTGCATTTCAACTCTCCGCTTACGCATTCCAGTCTCCCTTATAAACCCTCAGTTGGTCAGCGGAAAACCCACACCGCTTCACTGTTGCGCAAACGCCGTGTTTACAGGCGTTGCTGGGCAACGCTGCCGAGAGTTGTTTATTGCTGCATAGCAACCAGCGCGCTTTGGCTTGGCTCTGCTCAGCACAGCATGGAGAAACACCTCTTTCCTTACTGTTGCATAACTTGGCAACCAACCATTTATCAAGGGTCTGTCTTCGTCATAACTCATTCCACCTCCCACTGCCCAGCAATGGTTAGACATGTCACAATATTAATTATGTCTTCTTGAACATGTTAAAACACAGCAAAAGACACATATGAGGGGTTGGAGGTATGTTCCACTGCATACTGTATGTAAAATTCCTCAATCAAACTACAGAAACTTAGGTGAGCTGACCTACAATGAAATAATAAAACCCGGTATCTCCCAGATATGAAGCAGAATCATATTACATTCAACCAGTTTATTCAAGTTTACTCACCTTGGTTGGCTCCAATTGCTCCTTGGCATTTATGCCAATTGGAGCCAGGTTGTTCAGCTTTCCATAGCTCTCATCCACCCATGACACCTCAGTCTGATATGAGTTGGCATACGTCTGCAGTAGGCCATATGCTGCTTCACAGCTACGAAGCCTGTTAATGCAAGGTACACATTACAGTACAGGACGAATGATATCAAGCCTGCTTACAAAAATTAAACAGATAAGTTATAAATTATACATCATAATTTGATCTACAAGTACATAATTTTCATAGACTACATGTGACTGACTGTATGCATATTTTTACAAGGAGCCACTGGAAGGTAATACATTCCTCTCAAACAATGGGCTCTCTTTGAACTACACTGTATTCTTCATAAAAGTAAAACTGTCAATTAATTCATATCTCTGCTCTTCTCCTTACAAAAATTATATTTTAGCATCTGTTCAAGGTCCACCGAAATCTAAACAGCACAAAAGGTACCAAAAACTTGAGTAATGATACTAAACATTTTAAATCAGAGCTAAAGAATTATCTGCAGGCTCATTCCTTCTACTCTGTAGACGAATACCTCAATGTAAATAGAGAATAATGTAGAATTAAGCTATATTAGTTTAAGATAAAATTACTTGTACCAGTAGGTATTCTTTCGACTTGTTCTATATCCAAAGGTATTAACCTGCTTAGGGTTTATGGAATGCAAATAAATTCAATTCAATACAAAAAAAATTGCCGACACTGAGAACACACTAGTACTATGTGTGCTAACACAGAGAATAGGATTCCTTTTATGACCAGAAATGGGGATGACAGAGATATTGTCACATGCATGGAGTGTGACTATGAATGTAGTTTGGATTGGTAATCTGATTTATTGGGATCTTTGAAACAGTGCATGATTACACTTTACGGTTCACCATTACACATACACTAGTGTCCACAGTCCACTGCCGTTACTTGGTAGTGGCTTCCAACAGCAGACATTTGCCTTACTCTGGGTTCCTGAACTATCTCCGGCCTCAGCTACCAGCTTCTAACAGCAACAGCTCACAACAACTAACGTCAGCAGTTTTTAATTAACTAAAACTGCTAAGCGGACCTGCTTACAACATCTTGGCATGAACCGTGTAGAACATGTTCCTTCCATTATTGCTGTATACTTTTCTTGCCAGGAAAACACACTTATTTGAGGAGCCATTGCTTAGCAATGGCTGTTGTATAGCTTGTTATTTTGTGGTCATTGTCTACCAATGGGTCTACAAGCCAGATAATGTGAGATTGCTATATAGTAGGGAAAAATTGGACAGATACAAGAGGAATGCTATGAGACAATACATAAGAATGGAGCAGCTATAACCCACACTGGTGGAAATAATAATGGATGATTTCGTTAAAACAGATAAATGATTTAAAAGATCACCTTATGTTAATGCTCAGATATCAAACCTACAAAGCAATGCAGTCACTGTATAGGTACTGACTTATTCGATAGTTGCATTTCCGATTCTGATCACATAACTCTAAATTTTTATCCTCTTGCGTTTCACTGCAAAAACTTTCAACTTAAATATGTGAAAAGAAAATTCAACAACATCCACTGTGGCCAATTAGAAATTTTATTTTAGATAAATAATTTCATCACAATTTAAGTCTTCACCCTTCCCTTGCAAATAACAGTGGTAATATCATCATTTTTATCACTGTCAGTGTATATCATAATTGTATGGAATTGTGTTAAGATAAATTTTTTTGTAAGGTGATATTAAGAAGAATGCATATAGGCTAGGGGTGGGAAGGAAAGAAAGAGATCACTAGGAAGACTAAGACCTACATGGGTGGATAATATTAAAATGGATCTTGGAGAGACAGGATAGGGTGGTATGGATTGGACTGATATGGCTCAGGATAGGGACCAGCAATGGGTTTAGGGCAAACCAAGTGAAAGCAGATGCCGACTCGAAAGCCTGGCGAGAAGAGATGGCCGCCTGGGGAGAAAAGTTGGATGCAGAGACGAAAGCTACCCAAGCAAGAACGAGAGCTATCGAAGCAAGGACGGAAGCCATGCAAGAGATAATGGGCACCAGCCACACGGAGATGTGCGCATTTCACCCCGAAATAGCGGAAAAGATGATAGCCTGCCAAGAGATGGAGGCACATCTAGAAGAAGAAAAACAGTTCTCAAGGCAGCTACCTACGAGTTAGTTCCGAGAGAGTTCCCAGTTAGCCAGCAACCAGTCAGTTGTATTCTGGCATTTGCAGTGTAGTATTTGTGATACTGCAGATAGCAGTAATTGTGAATCTGTAATTTGGGTGATTGTAAGTGCGAATGTGAAATAAAATTCGCTATATCAAATACGGCGTGAAGTTATTTGTCGCATTATTGGATTTCACCAGTCATAACTACAAATAAATTTAATGCTTTCAAGATTACTCTAATTATAACACATAAATAAAGTCTTCTCTATCTGCTTTAAGTAACTGCTGCTAGGTAACGGCTGTTTCTGTGGCTGAACAGTTCTTGCATGGGGTAAATACACCACAGTATTATGTAACCAGAGAGATACCATGTGTAGAGTATACAATTGAGTCAGATGACTTGTGAGGTGACGTTACGCTGTTCAGGCATCATCAGCCAGCTTAGAGATTATTACGTTTCAGGACTCAAGACAAGCTGATGTGCCTGTGTTTCAAATGATCACATACTTGTATAACAGATTCATACCTGTCTACCAGCTGCTCACAGACATTCTCCCAACGATTGGTAAGTCGACTAACATCTGCCTCCAATCTCTCTAAATCTGCGTGAGGTCCACGATGAGTGGGTCGGGACTTCTCCACCAGCCGGCGTGCATTGTGCACATCCTCAGTCAGCTGATCGATAACTATCTGTTGTTGTGACACGGAGTTCTGAAGATTCAGCAAATCTTCATGAACCTGAACATATATATTGCACCTCACACATGACAGGAAAATCACAAATGGATAAGAGCTAGTTCCACTACCTCCATGTGAGTGCAAGAGCCAAGTGTACACATACGCCAAATTTAATATCATTAAAAAGAAATTAAATATAAGCCAGTGATATTTTAACCATCAACATTTTGTATTATTAAGCACAACGATTTAAGAAATATAATAATTTTTCCCGTACCATTTTGTGTTACTTTCTTTTACTCTTCTCTCATTGAGAACAAAATTTACTTTACCAGAAGATATATTTCTCAGAGGCTAAACAATATTTTTGTATCTACAATAAATGTTGCTGATTGATATCTGAGGTTCTCATGGGTGAGTGACTAGGAAGTTTACTACCCTCTGGGATGTGATGCCATGTAATTTGGTGGATATGTATGAACGTTTTCAATGAACCCACTGCCTCGGCCTAAAGGGAAGAAGGGTAAGATGTGAAGGGAAAAATGGTCCTGATATGGGATAGGACAGGGACTGGGGCCAAAAGTGAACCTGTGGAAGTGGCGCATAAAATGAAACATTAAAGAAAGGGAGGAAGAGGCATAATAGGAAAACTTTTTTAGGAATGGGAAGAAAGTAAGGAAACAATATACAAAATTGTGTAAACCAAAAATATATGAATGAAATGACGATGATGATAAATGTGAGTGGGGGCAAAATAAAGATATAAATTAAAAAAAGAAGCTAGTAAAGGAGAAGAAGAAACAGTCTGCCCATGCTAATACATTACCACATTTCTTAGATCTGAACGTACATGGCTTATACATCTGAGGAAACAAAAGTCCGCAAAAAAATAAACCCAACACTTCTGAAGCAAGGACTGACATCTGGAATGTCATTCTAGAAATCTTGGAAGGTAAAATTCCATGCGTTGATGTGTCTGTATACTGCAGGAGAACACTTTTGCAATATCACATAAGTAAAGCAGTCTTACTGATAAACATTTGTGAAATATTGATGGAACCTCCAATTATATTGAACAATAGTGTTATTACAGCCAGATGAAGCCACCAGCTGGCTGGCATCACAGCTCCATGAATAGGCAATGATAAGGCCACAAACAAGGGAACAAACCTCTCTGTATGGAGTACAAATTCATTGTAATCTAGTTCAACTTGACCTAAAAAGGAGTTCCCACTGATGAATACTACACTGACATTCCACTGTACTAAACCTCCTTTCAGAACACCACCTGCTGGATTATGAACAACAAAATTCTTGTGCTGGAGCATGTATGAATCAAAGATCTTCCTGATGAGCCAGGCCTTGCCCAACTCAGTGCACACCACTTTTTGAGATAGCCTGCAGACACTTTACCTCTTCCCCCCCTCATTTTCCTATCTACCACTACTTTGCCTGTCAGTTGAACTGTGTTGCACTGATCGGTCATTCATGATCTGATTTTTGAGCTGATAACTGCTCTGGCTGTGGCAGTTCGTCAGGCAGTTAGACAGACCTAGTGTCATTTATGGGGAACAGGAGGTGAGTGCTGGCTGATCTAAACTGTGTTTAGCCTGTTCTTCTAAATCCTTGTTCTGGCTTCATTACTAGCTACTTTATTAACCTCAGGCTATTTTCCCAGGTTATCTTACTTCTCAAGATGACTGTCACTTTCAGTCTATCATTTGCTATTGCTATCATTCTTGTTATTTGGAGTTAGGCCTGCAATCTCCTAACCAAACTGCTGGATAATGACCATACCAAGATCACTGGCCATAACTGTAAACATAAGGACTCACTGTGTATGTCACAGCCCCACTACTATTTGTATTTTTTAGCAGCTAATTACATACCCATTGGATTTCATTAAAACAGTGTCACTGAATTACTGACTGCACTGTACTCCTAAACTGGACCAGGGAAAGCAATGGTTTATTCCACATTTTGCTCACCCTCATTGACATATTTAATAACCCAATTTCTGTTACTATCATTTACTTACTACAAACATGAATCCACTAATGACAGAAAGACAGGTATATAATATATATATGTGTGTGTGAACAGCAACAAAATTTCTTTGGAAGCATAAGAAATGAAGGTGCTAAATGAACACTGGGAAACTTGTGAAATCAAATTAGGGAAACTAAAAAGACAACAATGGAAAGAGTGGACACAGATACAAGAGGACACTTATGGCAGAGCAGAGAAGTATGAAGGATAATTTAACATGGGACAACCCATCCTTGCGGAAACCTCAATGGGTGGTGGTGGTGGTCTGCCGGCTTGTATGCATAAAACTTACAGCTTGCAGAGCATCCACTTCAGAAGGCAGTTCCTCATACGATGCCAGCTTCAACTCAAACTCTGAAACAACTGTGGTGGCCTCCTCAAGTCCAGTAAGGACTATCTCCACACACTTCAACCTCTCAATGTAGAGATGAGACGAACTCCACAACTGGTTCCATTTGTTCAGACACTTGTCCAACTTGGTCTGCATAGCTGGGGTCTTGCGTGCCACACTACGGAATGTTACCTGAACATCCTCAACCTCTGGTCCCAGTGCCTGTGTGAGTTAATATGATGCCATTAATCTTGCAAGCCGAGCCTTTTATTCCACGTTGAAAACAAACAGCCAAAAAAGTGGTGCTACATTCTTACTCTACTTTCTTGCTTAACAAGGAAAGACAACCTCATAGTATAATCACATCCATGAGTCTGTCCAGTTACAGTCTGTCCCAAACACCTAAACTGATTTTCATGACACTTGATATGAATAACATACCAACAGGGCCCACCAATTACCAGATTTTCTGAGAAATGGTGGGTCTGGAACGGGTCCAGCCTCATGAGGATAGTTGAGGAGCTACTTCAAGGAAATAAAGGCTCCAGTCTAGAAAACCGAAATTAACGGCCATGGGGATTCATTGCGCTGATCATGCAATACCCTCTATCTGCTAAAGTTGGCACTAACTTTGCCAACAAGCGGCGGTTGTTCAGTCAGTACAGTTTGCTTGAAGACTAGAACTACAGAGTTTGTTTGTTTGTTGTTGTTGTTACATGATAATGACTATGTATGGGTTCTGCTAGGAAATTGATTTGTGTTAAATCACTTCCTCTCATTTACATGCAGTCACAACTGTTTGCAATTAGCCACTTGACTGCCCTAGCTTGGTTCTTTGGAATTCTGTCCCCCATCTATTTACTGAATGACTGGCTTCTAAACTGCTGCTGCTGCCCCTTGGCTGAGTCTGGCACACTTCTTCACATACCCCTCTGCAAGAATGGCAGTGGCTCCCTGACTACTCCATGTGTTTACCAGGACACTGCCTAGTAATGGGCACCTCTGAGATTATTTCTCTGGTTCTGACATTCCGAAGTTTACGGATTTTAGGCATCCTGTCACAATATGGGTATGATGGCTATGTAAACCATAAGGTGGAAATGACACTACATCCATTAAATGTGGGGAGTCCTGAAATCTGTAGCAGCAATGATCTTCAAAAAATGTAGAACTATTGCTGAGATTGTGAAAAACATGGTGACTGAACAGATCTACATTTAACTTACAGTTTGGTGATAACAGTTATTAACCACTGGATCCAGGCATGTGGAACTTCATGAAAATTGATTACAAATGTACCTGAATATACAGTACAAACCATGGTGAAAGTTTGGGGTTGTATATGACAAGTGTAACACAGCTGGAATCTGCATTAGTGGAAATTATGTAAAGAAACAGATCACTAAATTCCATATCTTAATATCATAAGCAAATTCTTATCAGAACTCCTTATTTTCACATCATGAAAATAAATCTAAAATTTCTTATGGACCACATGCAACAATTTTATAGAACATGACACATCATTATTATAAATTTATTGTTTAAATCAGCTACAAGTGAAAATTTTCCTCAATTTTCTTACCAACAATGAGAACCAAAAAATAATACAGGTATACACAAAACACAGCCAATGTTATCATTCCATTCACATGCACCCAACATACATTCCACATGTTATATCTTGGCTACATTTTCCATTTCAGGTTTCAAATTCTTTTTCGGTAGATACTGTCAAGTTCCCTCATTGCTGTTTATACCCCAGTGCAGAGAATGCAATGATGTACCGTGTGCCAGTCCATCTTTGATTGATCACCAGTGCACAAGATCCTAATGTCTTCTTGATTAAAAGCAACAATCATATTTATATTCCTACATTAATCGAAAGTAATCCTGGCCATGAAGGTGTTAAAGCAAACTGCAGGAAAGAGATCCACTCTAAAGTCAAATGCGTTAATATGCCTTAATACTTCACCATAATACACACGTTTATCACCCATCCACCCACCTGTAGCTGGGTTTCAAACTCCTTGTGTTCAATAACAAGATGTTCTAGTGAGTCAAGATCACGAGGCAGAAATGCAGCAGTGCGAACAGCCAATGTGCGTTCAGCTTCATCCAATGATGCTTGCAGAGAGGCTATCTGATCATTGAAATTGCGGGTTGCATTCTTACTCTCCTCTGAAACAAATAAAAAACAGGAGATGTGAAGCTGTTGAAACATACAAGACAAATTACAATTCCAACTGTGGCATGACATTTTGCAATAACAGTTTTAAATGTAAATTAACATAAAATAGTTTTGGATGATACAAGCTTTCTTCTTCTTCTGAAATAACCTCACACTTCTGTTAACCCATGACACTTCATAAGTGTACTAACAAAACTCGAATTTGCCGTACTAAGTGCAATCAGAGTTCAGAAATTAGCTTTGCTCACTTGTCACAGGCAAGTAAAGGAAGTCCAGGGCAAGTCCCATTTAATATTCCATGATTTATGGTATTCTCTCATTTCAATGATCCCAGGTCAAAAATTTGAAGGTTAATTTTCCTACAATTAAAATTTTCCTCAGTTTATTGTTCAAATGAACTGCTACGAAAAGAAAGCCTTAACGGGAGTTTCACTGCACTTGTATGAAGAATATTGTTATATATGGATGAATGGTCTTCTTAAGTGGCTGGTGGGTTTAAGCTGTATTTATGGAACCTTGAATGTAATGACTATTTTGACAAACAAGATACTTTCATGTCACCGAACCAACGATGCAGGTGGTGTCCTCGAGCAAAAACTGTAATTTAAGGGGGGGGGGCTTTAAATATTCAAAATACAGATATTGTTGACTTCCCATAAATTTAGTTTTATTTAACTGTTTTTTAATACGACATACCACAAGAATCCTTTAACGTGTTCTCAATAAATATAACACTAATTTACACACATTTTGCATTTCCCCCTAAAATTCTGACAGAAGTGGAAGCCGCCAAAAGGGATGGGGGTGGGGGGTGCTCTTCATATTCAAGCAGCTACAAGAAATCAATGTAGATAAAATGACTACACACATTATATTCAGGCCTGAAAGCAGACAGTCCTTCAGAGTGAGACATATGCCTGAATATGTGTGTGTCATTCCTAACTATGAAGAACGCAACACATGAACATAGCATTTACACATTGCAGTCTCACAGTCTTCTGCAAGTATTGTAAAGAAGGCCATCTTATGAAATATTTATCAGAGAAGCAGCATCCTTTGTAGTAACCAAGTAAATACCTTCTTTGTTAGTTTATAATGCTGTTTCAACTGCACATATTATAGGCAACACAATCTCTCTACTACACAAGTCTGGAATGTTAATTACGGAAACATTTTTTTAAAAAGAGTGCATGTGTGTGTCATCACTGATCCTAAATGAATTAGCCCCTTCAAGAATGTTTAATTTTTCATTCTGCATGAACTTTATCTTTACAGATGATCCAAACCCTGTGTGATTGTAGACAATGTTGCCAGTGTTTCAGAGGTACATACTGCCTGGAAAGTGATCACCCAGATGGTCAAGCAACAGTAAACACATCATAAACATACTGTCACATATAGGGTGGTATGCATGACAAAAACGATGGGTTCTAGTTCGGATGATTGGATTTATGAGAGCCTTGGTTACACTTAAATAGAGGCCTTAAAAAGGCCATCTGCACAAATTTTCTTACCCACTGCTCTTAACCAGTCAAGTGGTTCTTTCCCATGTTATCTCCCCACAGTGGCACATTAAATTCCCCTGGACATTTAATTTGTCATTGTGGCATTTAATTTCATAATTTTTGCTCCATTTTTAAAATGCAATATCTCAATCATGTGCCATTATAAAATTATGGAACAAAAAGCCTCTCAAAGAATAATCATCAGACTTCACATACCTGCATTTTCATTTCTATAGCCATTACATTAAAGTTCACACACCGATGTGTGTGTGTGTGTGTGTGTGAAATTCCATAGTTTGGGCTTTATTCTCAAAAAAATCAGCTACTGTCGCCACTGACTTCCATTTCTGTTCACACCACATGATCTCATACATATGCCTAAGTCATGCACATTCAATATAAGCTGTCACTTTGTTCACCACCTCACGAAATTTTCACATTTATTTCACTATCACTATTATATTCACTCTCTCATAACAGTTATAAACACCTCCTCATCACTTACACACATCTTCTTGCTAAGACCTGTCATAATGTTTAGTCAAAAGAACTTGAACCCAGGACAGCTATCAATCAACATCTTCCCTTCACACACTCTGAAGTAACTAGAACATCTTTAATGTTCCCACCTCATGACCCAAGGTACACAGGTTCAAACCCGGCAGAGGTTGTGGAATTTTTAAGGGTGGAAAAATTCAGGGAACAAGTCCTCCGGGAGGGACTTTAAGCCGTGAATCCCGTGTCGTAGATTTACAGCACGTAAAAGATCCTCATGTCTCTAGGAGACCTCTGAGCAAAATTAGGCAAAAAAAAGTTTCCCGTCCAAGTAGTTTCCAATTCCTCCAGTAGATGGGGGAAGTATCGGGGACCACTGTCAGAGAGGGCCGACCTCGCTGGCAGAACGGGGCTGATAGCAAGCACCAGTACTGGAAGGGCATGGCGACTAGTAGAATATTAAAGGGGGACACACAATAGATTAATAACTAGTCACGGTGCATGGGGAAACCCACCCCCTTCAATAATAATAATAAAATAATAACTAGAACATCTTGAAAGTACAACATACAAGTTTGCATTGTCAACTGGCATTATACCTACAATGTAGCATTCAGAAATGTGCGTGATGTCTATAGACATCATAACCACATGACTGGCTAATGGCCTGGACAAGGCACCATTCCCACACTATCCCCCTTTCCTTTCCAAAACAGAATGCTGTATATATACACATCAACTAACCACCACCACCCTACACACTTCAACCCTGAAGATGGAGACAGCGTGTATTGCCAAAACGTCAGTACCATCACCCACAACCACACAGCACAAGAACCCAAGAACAGAATTTACATCAATACACATAGCAATGATCAATAACACTTTCCTACAGCAGAAATTTCTTGCTTTAGTGCTCTCTTGTAAACTGTGAACTTCTACTGCTTACAAGGACACGAAGACCTTCACACTAGAACTTCAGCAGTATGTTTTCCCTTAAAGAATATTTTCTTTCCAAACTTCTATATCCAGACACAGCCACTACATTTGAACATATTTAACTTGATCTAAAAACACAAAAGAGTATCACCTTCAGCTCTGGCACGTCTCTCAAATTCATCGAAGAGTCGATTCACCTCCTCCATCTCTCGACGCAACCGTCTCAACTGAGGATCAGCTGGATCACCTTCTTGTAACAGTTTGTCTGCATCTTCATTCAGAGCTTTGCGGATAGCATTACGCTGTTCTTGACCCATAGCAAGGAACTGTAACCAGAAATTTAACTATCACCTTCACTTTGCAACAGTAAAATGTATTCTCTGAAAGACTTTGACCAACATAAAGAAAACAGTATCAAAACGTTCTATAGAAAGAGGACTGTTTCTTCAAAATATGGTACATGCTGACATACCTATTTAAGTGCTGCATGGCTTTACTTCACATTCATCATAGCAATACATTAAAAGTAATAACACATAATTAGATACATTTCTTCTGCATAGAATTTAGCATTCACTCCTAACATTCAATCAGCATTTCTATTAACGACGGAGTCATGATAGTTCAGTTAGGAGACTACTGACTGCATGGTTAGGGTTCACTTCCCAGCAGATGTGTTTGGATTCTTCTCTTCACATAAAGCTATATATCCATCTCAAATAAGTGAGGAGGCCTAGAAAGTATGGTCTTTGTAATGCCATGCAATCTCTCTCTCTCTCTCTCTCACACACACACATATACAAAAAGTAGCAACAAATTATGAACTATGAAGAAAGTCGTCTTCTGGGATCTGGCGCCATGTATTCTTTGTTCCAGCCGATGTTTCGGAGGAACATATCGCCTCCATCTTCAGGGCAGGTGAACTGCGTTGCGAATACAGAGAGCAGATGGAGGCGATACGTTCCTCAGAAACATCGGCTGAAACAAAGAACACACGGCGCCAGATCCCAGAAGATGACTTTCTTCATAGTCAGCGCCGTGAAAACCTCAAAACTTACAAATTATGAACTACTTCTCTGGCAGAAGAATCCAAAGGCTGATACCAAACCTTGTTGCTGGGCAGATCCACAACCTTAACCTTATCCTCTTACACCAAATTCTCATGTTTACCTCATCTTCAATGTGCCTGCTCTCTAACATGTTTCCCACCAATATTATGAACTTCCTGTGTTCCCCACTTAACACATTAAGGACCAGTCGCATGATATCATGCTTTTGGCTTTTAAACGTGGCGGACCAGTAGCATGATATGATTTTAGTACGCATTAGGTTGTAACACACTATACCATGCTCTGGCGCCACCCAAGTTGCACGCAACTGTGTAATAAAACTCTGGAATGTTTGCTTACTTGTCAGTAACTTGATCTCGCTGTTTTCTTAACCCATTATAAAGGAAAATTCTTTGCTGCTCTTCAAGCTGTATGTGTCACCCAGTAGTTAGTGGTGGGGTATGGACAAGGACAAATTCTTCTCCGATGAGCCAGCTGACCTGCCTTGTGAGACCCGTAGTCATGGTGTTTTGGAGAGCATCAGTGACAGGGGAGAACAAAGAATTGTGGCCACAGACAGTAAAAGTGACAGTAGCTCTGACAATAACGGGAGTAACAACACGTGGGGAAAATAAAGAATCTAAAAAAATCACAAATATCTAAACCCTGATTCAAAATTGAAACACAAAGCATTTCTGATGAATGTGGCAAAGGCCTGGGCTACAGACCAGATGGTGGCGGCAGAACCAGGGTCAGACATAGACTTAGTGTGACTGGGCCCACCAACTCCCACCCCACACACATACATATTNTTGTGAAGAGTGAACATTCCAAGGGGAAGCATCCTTCTAGGCAATGCGGTGTTTGCACAGTTCACAAAAAAAGGAATATGTCTACATTGTAAGCTCTGTGTAATGCCACTTCACAAAGGGGAATGTTTCCAGAAATATAACACTCTCAAGCACTTCTAGGAGCATTAGTAAGTGTTCTCCAAAAATTTTAGTTCATAAAATTAATTAGGAGATTTTATATTAATTTTTAAAGTGAACAGTGCACATGTTAGGATAGTAGGTTTAATAATGCCGGTCCCCAGGATGATTTAAATATTTAAATCGCCAGTCCGCAAAGTGTTAAGTAACATGTCAAACTCTCTATAACAACCTATATTTCATTACCCCAACAATACTTATTAGACAACCTGCCACAAACTTCATTACATAATATCCTATTCTGCCTTTCTACAACCCTCTAAATTTGCACCTACTTTCTTTAACTCTGACAGTATTACTCTCTTCTAAAGGGAACCAATTTCCAACCTTCTGGTGCTACACACTACTACGAAAACATCTGAAACACAAGAATCCTTACTGTGTGAATATACAGTTCAAATGGATGAGATTATTCTGCCTTCTGCAAGGACTATAACCTAGGAATAATTTTTCCTTGTCATTCAAGGAATACTTTTAGCATTTTAAAGGCAGGCTTATCTTATGATGTTGGTATACATTACAGATGTGAATACTGAAAAAAAAAACATCTTCGTAATTCATAATTTATTTACATTCATCAACTGCTACCACATGTACAATTGGACAAGTCAGTTTAAACCATCTAAAACACTACAAGTCAACAACTCTTAAACAATACAGCCATCTTAGGATCATTGTCTCCCCCCCCCCAGTGAAGCTTAGCAACCGCGGATGACAACCACCTACAATCCAATACAAAGCAACACATACACTTTACCATCTATATACATCCACACATCAGAACCAACCCGAGCCACCTAACTACCGTCCATCATTGTTACTAAAAACTCATGCAGAGAATAAAAACAGTAAGGTTATAAATAACATTTTAATTTATTTTTAAAAACTGTAAAATTTTCTATTCTTTTTAATTCAGGGGGCAAGCCATCATGTATTTTAATTCCCATGTTAATTACACTTATTTTTCAATGAAGAGTGTTGCATGTTTGTAATACAAATCCTGTTTTCCTTTACTATTATACTTGTGGACGTCAGAATAATGAGTTGTGTAGATCTTGTTTTTTTAAAAAGCATAAGATCTCATATATATATATATAAAGAAGTTACTGTTAAAATCTTAAATTCACCAAACAGGACACCCTGTTTTTCACTCCTTAGACCTTTCCTTTGTAATTTAAAGACTGTATTACTGTTATTTACTACCCCCCCCCTTTCCAAAAAAATACCAACTTTCAGTATAGATTCAAATTTAGTACAATAAACATTTCTTGGTACTCGTAAACTCACTGAGTCTTGTATGGATTTAATCAAAAAGAGCTTCGTTTAATTTATGGCAAAGATATTTTATATGAGTGGCCCAGCTAAAGTTATCTGTGATATAAATAACTAGAAATTTTAAATATGATGAGTAATTTATTTCTTTATTTTCTGGATACAGAATGTGTCCACAAGTTAAACTAGATTTTTCAGTCAGTATTTATTATTCAAAGAGTGCATACAAATAGTGTAAAATATTTGAACAAAACATGTACAAACCATCTGCACCAGAATTACCATCTTATGGTAAAAAAAATAATATACCTGTAATAAGAACATTATGTGAGGGGCGTTCAAGTTCTAAGGTCTCCGATTTTTTTCTCAGGACTGGGAGCAGATAGACATATGCAGTTTAGTTTAAAATATGTGTACACTCTTTGTAAATGTGTGACAGAGATGACAGCACTGTACAGCACACAGAACTCTAGTGGTGGCGGCGAGTGAGGAGTGTTTTTGATACCTATAATAGCAACGTTTTCGTTACAAGTAATCATTTGTTTTCTCCACTTGCGTGGTGCGACACCCATTGAAATTCATCGCCAGTTGAGTGAGACATGTGGTGGTGCCGTGAATATTAACCTTTAAGAGACGGCCCTTTAAATTCCGGTAACGGCAGCGGGACGGATTTGATTTAAATACCCGCAATTTTAAAGCGATAAAAACTGTAATCATTTCCTAAAATTGCTGTGATTTCTACAATTTTTGTGATAAACGAACCAAATAAACGCTGTTTTTTTCTAGAAAGAATATAGAATCAGATATTGTAATTTAGAGACTTTATAAAATGTGTAAAAATTTTTAGACTGATTCCAAGTATAAAATTCCCAAATTTGTCGTCTGCCTACAAGAATTCATATAGTTCTTGGAAGCAAGAACGCTGTATGTAGACGTGGCAACACAGCGGATGGTTATGATGATGATTATGTTTAGTCTTGCATGTATCGAAGCATATACACGTACCTTCTTCGGTATGCAGAGATGTGGGCCTGTATATCTCCGTTTATAAGAACGTTGATTGTTTATACACAACAATTTCTCTGTACTGACCAGGCTCGGTTAGTTTATCACAACTCTCAAGGCCAAGCACAGCCAAGCAGTGTCACAGAGCTTC